CAGGCGGCTCCTGTGCTGGGCTCTGTCACTGATGCGTGACCTTGGGCACGGCACCTCCGCTGCCCTCACCGAGGGGGCTCCGCCGAGAGCCTCCTTTCGGAAGAGGAGCCGCGGAAGTGCGCCGAAGCCTGCTTCACCCCCCCTTCCCCGCTCCGCACCCGCCCCTTCCTTCAGCGGGGGTGCCAGCGAGCTGCCGGGGTTGTGTAACAAAAACCTCTCGCCGACTTTATCGTGCCGCTTTGTGCGAGGCTCTCCCGAATATATTTGGAAAAGGATATGCGGCATTTCCCCAAAGGCTGGCCTTATCCATCAGCCTGGCAGGAGGCGAGCGGGAGAGCTTGTGGCTCGCTTGTGGGAGTAGCGCTGTCAAAGCTTTCAGGAGTGGCTACCGGTAACTTTCTCTATCTGGTCGGTTAAGGTTTTGGAGGGAAACTGTCTCTCTACGGTTATTTTTTGTGCTTGTGCATTTTTAAAGATAGTATAGTGAAGACCAGACAGTCAGGCATGTAAAACACATCAAATGAGAAGTGAGTTCCCAGAAGAAAGTACGTCAAGTGGCCAAACAGTGTTCCTAAGGTAGTCCCTGCCCCCAAGGAATATTTGGTTTCCACGCCTTAATTTCTAGCTGACAGCTCCTCTTTGCGCTACTGCTGTGTTTTAGCTTCCAGCACAGCTCAGTGCTAGCTTTTCAAAAAAGCTGATTCTGTGGGAATGTGGAGGAGTGAGCAGAAGGGTGAGAAGAGAAGACCTGAGTTTTAATCTTCTCTGGTGGCTCTGTTTGTTTGGCCTGCCATCTAAAACTTGTGAAAACGACTACAGTTTCTGCTACTGTAAATACTTACTGCATGTTTGCTAACCTTGAAAGAGTGCTTTCAATTAATGTTTGTCCAGGGTGCTGCACATCTGTAGCTGGTTCACCCCAGCTCTGGAGAAGGGGTGCCTAGGAGCTCACACCTGGCTTGTATAGCTCTTTATTTTCTTACTAAAGTCAAAATGTATACAAGGCATACCATTTTCTGTCATGAGATCAGCATGCCTTTTTCTCCCTTCTGTGCATATTTGCAGGGAGCTAGCTGTGACCTAAAGTTTAGGCTCAGTTGCTCAGGGTATAAGGAGTTTCCAAAGTCTGAGATAAGGGCCCTGGCCGCTAAGGGTTAAAGTGGAAGCGCACTGCGAGATTATGCAATTGTGATCTTTCTGTGGCAAACTTGTGCTCAAGGATATCTTGTAACTTCTGGCAATAGATAACAAATTGCCTTTTTAAGTAGCTTTTTTGTTTCCAAAGGACTAAAGTTGATTACCTGCTGTGAAAGAGTAACATTTTAAATCCAATGTGGTTTAAATGTGGGAATGCATTCTAAGAACAGCTTACTGCAGCGTAAGCAAAGCTAGCTTCTGGGGCGATTCTGCTGAACGGGATATAGTATTTAATGTCAATGGATCAGGTTGTCATGGAAGCACTATAGTTAAATATTACAGGCTTCACCGATGGTATTGCAAAATGAAGCTGAGAATAGAAGCTAAAACTTCTACTTCTTAAAACAAAACAAAAAAAAGATTGTGGATGCATATCTCCTTTGGGAACCTCTTACAGTAAATGGGGAAAAAATATCCTGTTGACTTGGAATTAATGCAAGTCTTGCAGAAGACTGTGCAGGTAGGAGTTACTTAGGAGCCAAGACAGCACTTAGTGTTTGAGAAATGTTTCCTAGCAAGCAACTTCCCTGGACAGAAAGGAACAACACATTATGTTCCTGCTCAGCTGGGACACCAGCACTGCTCCGCAAATGTTTTGGAGCTGCTTTCAAAGCACCGTGCACAGTGCCTTGGGCCAAGAGATCTTTAAGTTGTTACAGTGAACTGCATTGAATGCTCAAGGACAAGGTTTTTCTAATTTAGAAAGGCTTCAGCTCCTCAGAAGAGGAAGATAATATTGATAGTCTTTAATTCCACTGCATAAACCAGTCTTCTGATAATAAATTGCTTTTTTAAGAGAGCTAGGCTGTGTTCCCAGGCTTTACTCCTGGGCTGGGATTATTAGAGCTGCTCTCTTGGCTACAGTCTTTCTATAAAACATCTCCTCTATAGAAAAGAAAATGCCAGTATACAGAAATGTTGATCATCAATATGTTTTGGCTATAAAAGTGATTAACTAGGGCTAGAAGGCATACCTTCACCAGCACAGCTTCCTTTGGTAGGGAATTCTTAACAACTGCTCTTAGTCACGATAAGGGACTTGAACAAAAAATGGGCACGCCATAACATTCTTACTTGGGATTTCTTTGCTACTCTGGATGTCTGTTGGTCCTGTTCTCCAGGTTGCGTTTAGAACTGGTAGCAATGGGAACTTTCAAGCTATTGGACTTTTTCCCCTCTTTTTAGTCAAATATAATATAAAGAGTAAGCAGGCAGGAAGCTGCCAGCTAGAAAACTTAATGGAAAAGTAGGGAAGTTCACAGTTGGCTAAAAAAAGCTCTCAGTGTGAAGCTCCACTGTTTTTTTCCAAAGCCATCTTGACAAGAAAGAGAAGCACATCCAGAATACCCCTTCCTGATTTTTGCACTGAATGCTGAAGTTCTGCTGGATGATGTTTTCTACTTGTAAAAGTAGTTGAAGTTCCTGCTCTGTATGATAAGAACAAATTCACTGCAGTGAAGGGAGTGCTGAGTCTGTGACTTAAGCGACACGCTTTCAAAAACATTTTTAACTACCTAGGTGCAAGCAATCTAATAGTCAGCCTCTTTTTAAAAAAAAGAAAAAAGAAAAGAAAAAAAAAAAAAAGAACCAACTGCTTCTAAAGGAAGTCCTGTTTTGGCATCTGCTGCCCAAAAGACAAGTGTATTTACCAGATGCAAGCTTTCCCGCAGGGAGGAAAGCTGCCTTTTTAGAGGCTCGTGTTGCCACAACCATGTTTGTGTACTGAGGTGTGGTTGCTGACCTGCATGCACAGCAGTGCACCTGTACTGGCACAGCACAGAGTGCTGGCGTCTACAGTATTACTTCTTGCTGCAGGAAGAAGCCTTACTTCTTGGCCCAGCCCTCCCATTGAGGACCTCACCCAGCATTTCTCTGCTTGTATTACCATGCTTTTTCAAATCAAATGCTTTCCCATTGCAACTTTTTTTTTTTCCAGTGTTTGAGTTTAAACTATACTGATGCTCCAGACTTGACCAAAGTACATTGTATCAATACCTAACTAGCCATGCACGGGCACAGAGATCTTGCATGTCCTATACGATGAGGCCTCCTGCGTGAAGCTAGTATCCTATTTTAAGGACCAGATTAATATGCTCAATTAGCGTTACCTTTGTCTCCTGGGGATGTCTGAATGCTGTGGTTTCTTTTAAAGGACCAGGAAGGGATGGTCTGATTAGAATGGATGACTGGTTTCAGTTTTCATCTCTGTCACAGTGAGCTTTAGTTCCATACTTATTAGAAGGGGATGGTGGTTATCCAAGGGTATTAGGATTGTGGGGTCGCAGCATAGTCTAAAAATGGGGATTACAAGTAACCAACATGTTTCAGGAGTCTGATTCTCTGGGTTTCCTTTGCAGTAGCTATATGGGAGACTCTGCTAATCACCAGTTGGGAGACTTAATTCTAGGACTTACAGCTGCCTCTGTTTCTACGCTGTTTCATAAATGGACTAGATTTCAGTTTGGTAACGATAGTTTAGTGCAGCCTGGGTAGATGTGCAGCTGTTAAATGTTATCCCCATCTTTGAGAGACTTCCCTTCATGTTTGGTGGAAAATGTTGTCCCATCTTTCTCTTCTTTTATCTCTCAGTAATCTTGGAGAAATAGCCTAACAGACTGAAGTGGAGGATGCTCAGAAGCCCCCTTGAAATACTAAATGCAGAAAAGGAGCATCTCCTGATCTTCGCTTCAGACTTTGGATATGGCTTGTCTGACCTGAGGTGGGAGAGTGCTGGCAGAAGTTTTAGGCCAAATGCAGTCCTTTTAGCTGGAGGGTACAGGCTTTCTAAACGCCCTGGGTTTGGATCAGGTGTCAGTTAGGACTGCTGGTGTAACGTTCTTGGTTAGACACTGCTTTCTTTAGCTTATGAATGGACTTCAGTTTCTTTTAATATCACTTGAGTCCACTAATTTCTGGGAACTGGCTGAGAGCGCCTCGTAAACCTGGGCTTCTGTTCAGTTCTTCCTCATTTCTCGATTACTTTAAAAGTTGTGCATTTCAGGACTTTGCAGGAAGTTTACTACAGACAAATAGTGGCAATTTTAACATGTATGTGTTAAAATCTTCAGAGATGAAGCGATGAATGCCCTAATTATTGCAGTTACTTCGGCTACCTGTTGTAACACTGCAACATGACTTTTGTTAAAACCATGATGTTAGGGGCTCTCTGATGTTTTGCTGCTCTGGTGCAGGAAGGGAATTGCCCTTGAAACCTGTAGTCCCAAATAGCAAATTCGTGTGTTCAGAAATAGCATCTTGAAATACTATCTGTGTCAATGTATGCCTTCAGCTGGAAGGGAGGAAATTAGTCTCAAATGAAGCTATTCTCACAGCTGCTTTTGCACACACCTGGTTCTCTGCGTTGTTTTTTTCCCCCTGTTTGGCATCTTCTGGAAAATAATGGAAATGACAGTAACAGGAACTGTGAAATTTCCAATTGCACGTTAAAGGAAACTACTCTTAAAGCAGCGAGACCGGAAAGGTGGACTTCTGCATGGACATGTCTAACTTGCTAATACGCTTGATACAATGTACTGAAAGTTACTATGGTGGAGAAAACTACTGGCATGGAGCTCTTAACTTGTTTATTTACCTGTGCTCAGGAGCTACCAATGAAACCTGCTTGAAAAGAGGGGAAAAATAAAATAGATGCTGTGCAAAATGGAGTATGTTGATGTATTCTTTTGTGTGTGTGTGTCATATGTCTGTCCCAAGTTGTCTTGGGAATCCAAGTTCACTTTCCATGTCTAGCTCTGGTGTGTTTTATTGAAACGTATTTCTGCGCTGGTGTGAAACTGGTAAAGATGAGAGCTGTAGACTGGAAATGCTGTGCCCGGTTCTTAATTATGCGAGGTTACAGCTCTGTTTAGGGTTAAAGAGTACGGTGGCTTCTTCTGGCAAGCAAAAAACACTTTCCCGTTGAATAATTTAGTCCTGACAGCAGTTCCTGTCAGACGATGGTGTGAGAAGCAGCACAAGTTTATCAGGTTCTGTGAATAGGGGTAAGGATTAATGCTGACCCAAATAGCTACTGAAACTACAGCACTAAACTATTATTGAAAAATAAAACTGCTTAGGGAGACACTGAGGAGAGCAGGTCCAAATCAATTCAGGTAGACCCACAGAGTGTCGGGGACTGAACTCTGTGGAGACTGGGCCCAGCACTGTGTCAAACTCCATTGTGATCAGTCAAGCAACGGAAGGTGGTTTGCAAAAGGATTAGCTTCCTGGATGATGAGCACATCAATGCTCACGTTTCATTGCTTTTCTTCCCCGTTGTCAAGCTGCAGCAATATACGAGGTGTGGACCTCTTGAAATCAGAGGCTGCCTTTCAGAAAATAAGAGGTAGGCCGCACCATGTTATCAGACAAGAGAGCCTATCCCCTGCTCCAGCAACAGGCACCAATTTGTACTTTTGGCTGTACTGCGTAGCAGCCTGCAGTTTCCCTTCCATTTCTCTTCCAGTCTGCTGGCTTATCAGTGATCAAATGCAGCAGGTTTTGCACTGGGATGTAAGAAGTCAAAGGTTTGCTTCTGCGCTTCTGGGAGCTACTGGAGAACCGAGATGGTTTAGTCAGATCAATTAGTTTGTTAACTGTAAATGAGATCAGTTAATTGACAGACGTGCACCAGGGGAAACGAGGAGAACTGCTTATGGTGCTGCTAAATGGGTCAGCAAATCGCAGGTCAGTACAGCTGTTTATGGCTGCCTGGTCTGGGCAAAAGAAATGGCGTGGCTGTGTTCTCATGCCTGTGTAACTGTGAGCTGAATGACAGTGACTTCAGAGACCTCTGTGCCTGTGTGTAGGCACAGTCCTGTTGTTAGCGCTAGCCAGGTTGGACTTCAGCTTGTTGCTATATTAAATACACCCACGACAATAAAGCTCGAGTACAGTTTGGTGGCCACACCCGTACCCTCCCGTATCATAATACAAAGAACTCGTGTGTTCAGGTTGTTTTGCAGCAAAGCATATTTGAGAGTCTGAAAAGTTTCAAGGACCCGTAAGGCAATGCCATATACTGTAGTTTGACTCTTAATAAATCCTTCAAACCTTTTTGGGATAAACTTTCCAAACTGAGGCAGAAGAGAGCGCTTTTTACCTGTGGTTTGTAGCACAGCTGTGCAGCAGTTCTTATCGCCTACAGGCACATGTGAAGGCGGCTGTATTAATGCAAGTGTTTATCTTTTTCAGGCTGGTGGTAAAGCTGGAAAGGACAGTGGAAAGGCCAAGGCGAAGGCAGTTTCTCGCTCACAGAGAGCTGGACTGCAGGTAACGTGGTACAAAGTCGTTTGTCTGTGTTAACCTGTTCTCATGGTAGAATGTTAATTGCTTGAGTAAAACTTCCATTTCTGAGAGGCAGGTTGCTGTGAATTCTTTTGGTGAAAACTTCTGGTTTTGTTATAATGATAATGGAGACTGCTGAAGTTTTGTGATTCATTTTGTCTTTTATTGTTGCTTGGATCTTTTTCCAGTGCTACTGTAATTATGTGAAGGTAACGAAAACTGTACAGTTTACAGGGTAGGGGGGACAGGAGACTGATTCAATGACTACAGTGCTGTGTGCGGGTGCATTTTCTCCCAGCTGTTGCTTGTTGTTCAGGAAGGATTCATGTCTATGGCTGATGTCCCTTATATGCCTTAAAAGGCTTAATTTGGATATTCAGATTATTGTAAAATTCCACAATAAATCTATGTGGAAGATCTGCTGAGCTTTTCCAATGAGTTTCATGTCTCCCTAAGCTTTACTTAATGCTCATTCTTGTTAAACTCTGATTAAAGTTTATGGTACCTTTGATATTGGAACTTTGTGTTCTTGAGGGGAAGTCTGGAAGGGGTAAACTCTTTGGGTGTAAGCTACTTTGCTGGCCAAAAGCAACAGTGTAATCTTGCCTTTACTCACATAGATATGTTTATAGCAGGCTATAGCTTTTTACAGAGCACCAGCTCTGTACCTGATACTTGCCTGACCAGTATGTAAAGACTGTGACGCTTACACTAACCCTCTCCGCAGTGGTGTCTCTGAACCACTTAACGCGAGAAGTCAGTGCCTCACCGTTAACCTCAGTCTTGATTGAAACCAAGCTTGCATTTGAGTTATTGTGAGGGTTAGACCAGTATAATATGTTAGTAAGTGTTTACAGGGTCTACGTTTTGCACCAGATTCCAGGCATTAAACACTGGGCAAGAAGTCGGTGCCTCGCTGTTAACCTCAATTTTGGTTGCTTTTACTTCAGTTCCCAGTGGGCCGTATCCACAGACACTTGAAGACTCGCACTACGAGCCATGGGCGAGTGGGCGCTACTGCTGCAGTGTACAGTGCTGCAATTCTTGAGTATCTCACTGCTGAGGTAGGTCCTGGAGACAAATGTCAACGTTGTGTCACGCAGAGTGCAACAGGAGTTAGACTCTAGCATCATGGAGGTGGCCTGTATTTGTGCACTTCCCACTTGTCTTCCAAGATTAATGTTACTTGGTGTAAAATTGCACCAGTATTCAGAGCAAAGCTGCAAGCATAGGGAAGTGCCATTAGCTACTACCCTGGCTTTAAATCACAAAGAAGTGCCTTGTATTCCCAGATGCTCTAGATGGCTGCCTAAACACAGCAGAGAAAAGTTGAACGTGAGTCTTGGAGCTGTTGGTGTCCACTACACTACTGATGATTTTCAAATAGAAAGTGACTTCATATTCTGTTGGCCTTAAAGACATAGAGCCGTTTCCCCAGCATATGGTCCTTGTGATGCTACTTTGCCCACTGGTGCTTTTTTTTTTTCTCTTTTTTTCCCCTCCCTCCTTTCTTTCTCTTTCAGCTGATTGAGCTGGGTAGAATCCAGATCAATGTTTTGTGAAGTTGATTTAACTATTGGAAGATCTGGTTGGATTAAAAAAAAAAAAACAAAAAAAAAACAAAAAAAAAACAAAAAAACTTCAAGGGAAGAGTTCTCGAATATACATCCCATGTGCAGAAATGATGCTGATTGAAAAAATTGAGTCTGGTTTCCTACTCTTGTGCGTGGTGGCAGGATGCTGTGTGCCTGGTAAACTCATTTTCAAACAACTCTTCCTGTCTTCACATTTGATACTTATTGACATTTTCAAAGCAAGATACTTAGAGTATACCAGGCTGCCTGGAACAGACTTTGAAACAGTGAGATCTGGTTATGCTTATTCATGATTTCTGTGTTCCGGTTGGCTATATTTAGTTTGCTTTGAGGCTTGAAGGCTTACAGAGTATCTTCCTAATTACTTGCCAGGTACTGGAGTTGGCAGGCAATGCTTCAAAGGATCTCAAAGTAAAGCGTATCACTCCCCGTCACTTGCAACTTGCTATTCGTGGTGATGAAGAGTTGGACTCCCTTATTAAAGCTACCATTGCTGGTGGAGGTATGTATAGTCCAGCTGCTTGATTCGACAGCTAGTTCACAGCTGAGGTTCTGCTGGACTCTGGAGAGAGGCAATAAGTTAACTTCACTGTGGCAGACAGCCTAGTTAGTGAGAGCAATTGTTTTGTTTGTGCCAGGCTGGAATCTGCCATAGCGCGTTGTGCCAACGAGCTGCTAAAAACACAGACCTCACAACGGTTACGGTACCTGGCAGCTTCATGGGAAGCAAGACTGGGCGGGCTGTGGGTTTCCTTTACTGGTTCTGCTCATGGTACAGGCTCTTGTATTTTCTGTTCACGCTTTCCCAGGTAGAAACTGTGTGCACATGTGTGTATGTTTGTTTGCCATAACGAGGATATCTGGCCCAGTGTGCGCACAGTGAACGTAGCTGGGATATCTGAAATCTCAGAATGAGATCCTCATATTGCATCCCGAATGATTCCCAAGGGAACTGACTGTGCTGAAGAGCCCTGTCTTACCCTTCAAATTGCATCTTATGTAGCATGCTCACTCTTCCCTTGAGAATGGGCCTAAATATACAAACCTGAAGTCCTGCCTAAAATGCCCATTGCACCTCTTAGTGAAGGGTAAATTGCCTCTCCCTTCAGGATAATCAAATTTATGACAGAACAGCGTAGTCTAGGGAGAGAGGCAGACACCTAAAATCCCTTGGAGGGCTCCACACTGAACGCATCGTGATGTACGCGGCAGTCTTGAGTGGGATGGCTTGCGTTTGTCACTGCACCCTTGCCTTTTTACTTTCCTTAAGTGGAGGTTTTACTGAAATTAGTGAAATACAGGAACATAACTGAGCAACAGTGATAAATACCGGACACTTTAATTACACTTGTCTTGTTCTGCACTCTTGCCTTGGTGTAAGCTGTCAGCTTGCTTCTTCAGTGGGCCTGATTGAAGTGACAAGGAGTGATTCACTGAGTGGGAGGAAATCAGCTTGAGTTGAAGTTATGTGTGTTGGTGCCGGATTATAGGATATCTGGAGACTGCAAATAGGAGGAAGGAATGTCTTAGGGCTCTTCCGAAAGTGTGGCAGGCTGTTGAACTTCCTGGTTTTTAATATATGCAGTTAATGCACCTCTGAGTTTGTGCTTGGCTTGATGGAAATCCTCTTGTGCTAACACATTGTTCTCTCTGCAGGTGTAATCCCTCACATCCATAAGTCTCTGATTGGAAAGAAGGGACAGCAAAAAACTGCATAGAGAGGAGTTTTAACCAACCCTCTTTCTCCCTGTCATTGTACTGTAACTGGGACAGAAGAAATATGGGGATATGTGGAATTTTTTAAGAAATAGTAAAATGGAAGAGCATAGACAATTGACTGTAGACATGAGAAAACATTTGTATGTTCTTTAGATTCAAAGTTTGACAAAAAGTACCTTTGTCATGTGGCAGCAATTTGTGTGTTGATTGGCTAGGTTTCTCCCATGTGTTTTATACAAAAATGGAACTGATAAAACCATTTTTTACAAAACTTGTGCTTGAGGTGTGATAATGAACTGGTAGGGGGCTTGCAGGCAAAAGCTCACCCATGGAGTGTACCTTGGTTTCATACGGGCTCTGTGGCACAGCCTGGGCAGCCAGAAATTACCGGGTTGTTGTAGATGCAAGTTATTTTAACAGGATGTAGTACTGCAGGCTTGGTTGCCTCATCTAAGGAAACGGGCTGTTATACTTGACATCAGTGGTAGTTTTGTGGGAGACAAGCTGCTGTCATGCAGACAAAACCGAGGAACTCTCCATCCTTGCCCAGGGATGGTTCTTGCCTTGACCTAAAGCTTTGTGGCAGAGCAGCAGCATCCTGGGCCGCTTTTCAGCGTGCAGACAAGGAAAGACAGACACTTGATTCCTGGTGGGGCTGTTCCTGTAGCAACCTCCCCTTCCAAATTCAGCTGGCCCAAGTTCAGTAGAGATTTTAGCACTGGGCTCACTTACAGAGAGCTGCCTGCATCTCCCCCTCAGAAGTGCCTGTTTGCTGGCACCTTTCCGGGGGTATAAGCATAACACAGCCTTCCTCTCACGTTGCTCCTCCGCTCTGTCTGCACCTCCACCTGCGTGAGTGCAGCAGCCTGAGGCTTTCTCCTCCCAAGGCCTGCGCAGAGATAAGGCGCACTCTCCCTCCCACTGCCTGGGCTAGGCCACCTCTCCCATGTCCTCTTGCAAAAAGCACAGTTGCCACTGCCAGTAACAGCAGCAGGGAGAGGGTTGCAGCCTTCCTGAGTGGGGGCTTGGGGTGCACCAGCCCTTTTCCCTTAAGCCAGCAGGACTCAGCTGGGCCTGGCACCTTTGGGAAGAACCAG